CGCATGTAGGGAGCTTGGAAGTTGTCACTCCACCTTTACAACAAGTAAAAAGCTAAATGAACTGAAAAATCAACAACTCTTCTTAGATCTGTCAGAGAAGTGAGGTCACAGGGCAAATTGGAGAGACCGATAAGAGAGACAGAGAATCACAACCTACCAGAGCAGAAACCTCCATGGGAACCAGCACCAGGACAAGAAAAGCTGTAGCTGATGAAGTGCTGGGGGCTCAGCATGGACGAGACTGAGGGCTAAAATCCAAGAGGGACCAATCTTCAGGGGCCCCTACACTTTTACGTTTTACCTCCAGGAGGTCACCAGGTTCTCAGAATGAATATCAGAGAAAAATCCCCTGGCACTTCCAGCAGGGGGAGAGGAAAAGCAACCATTCTGAAATATGCCATAGCATTCTACTCTTCTAACAAAGCCTGCCCTCAGGAGAAACTATTTTACCAGAGCCTAACTTCCACGAGGGAGGGGAAGAACCCAACTCCAGCCCTGTCTGGCCATTTTGTCCCACCTAAGCAGGAAAAAAACCTGGGAAGCACCATTGGAGTTCACAGTCCAGGGGCACAGGCTCACCAAAAGGTGCTATAATCACAGGACAATAAACACTTTCTCTCCCCTCACACCTCACCCTCATATCACTAAAGGTCTGTTTACTGAAGTTTCTTATACCCACTACATTACATCCACCTTTCAGCAAACACAGAGCATACTGAAAGGCAAAAACACAGTTTGAAAAGAGTGAACAAGCATCAGAAACAAGAGTCAGATATGGCAGAAACATTGGAATTATCAGGTGAGGAACTTTTAAAAACTATGACTAATATGGTAAGCCTTTCATGGAAAAAGTAGACAACATGCAAGAACAGATGGATAATATAAGCAGAGAGATGGAAATTCTAGGAAAGAATTAAAAAGAAATGCTAGAAATAAAAAACACCGTAACAGAAAGGAAGAATGCCTTTGATGGGCTCATTAGTAGACTGGACATGCCTGAGGAAAGAAACTCTGAAATTGAGGCTATGACAATAGAAACTTCCAAAATGGGAAAGCAAAGAGAAAAAGAGACTGAAAAAAAGAGAACAGAATATCCAAGAACTGTGTGACAACTACAAAAGGTGTAACAAATTCATAATGAGAATACCAGAAGGAGAAGAAAGGAACAAACGAAATATTTGAAGCAAAAATTATTGAGAATTTCCCCCAAACTAATGTCAGACACCAAAATACACATCTCAGAGCCTAGAGAACACAAAGTGGGATAAATGGAAAACACACAAATACACATACACACACACAAAACCCTACACCTATGCATTTCATATTCAAACTTTAGAAAATCAAAGATAAAGAAAAAACCTTGAAGGAAGCCAGGGAAAAAGAAACATCTTCACCTACAGAGGAGCAAAGATAAGAATTACTTCTGACTTCTCAGAAATCATGCAAGCAAGAAGAGAGTGGAGTGACATATTTAAAGTGTTAAGAGAAAAAAACTACCAATCTAGATAAAGTCAACAAAAGCAGAAGCTGGTTCTTTGAAAAGATCAATAAAATTGATACGTCTCTAGCTAGGCTAAATAAGAAATAAAGAGAGAAGACACAAATTACTAATATCAGAATGAAAGAGAGGACATCACTACAGATCCCATGACATCAAAAGGATAATAAAGGAATATTATGAACAACTCTATACCTACAAATTTGGTAACCTCGACAAAATGGAACCATTCCTTGAAAGACATAATCTGCCAAAACTCATGCAAAAAGATATAAAAAATCTGAATAGACATATATCTATTAAAGAAATTGAATCAATAATTAATGACCTTCCAAAACAGAAAGCACCTGACCCAGATGGGTTCACTGGTGAATTCTACTGAATATTTAAGGAAGATATTATACCAATTCTATACAATCTCTTCCAGAAGACAGAAGCAGAAAGAATAGTTTCTAACTCATTTTCTGAGGCCAGCATTACTCTAATACTAAAATCAGGTCAAGACATTATAAGGCAACTACAGACTAATAGCTCTCATGAACAGAGATACAAAAATCCTCAAGGAAATATTACCAAAGCGAATCCAAATTGTATAAAAATAATTACACATCATGACCAAGTGGGATTTATCCCAAGTAAGCAAGGCTGGTTCAACATTTGATAAACAATTAATGTAATCCATCACATCAACAGGCTGAACAAGAAAAATCACACAATCATATTAATAGATGTAGAGAAAGCATTTGACAAAATCCAACACCCGTTTATGATAAAAACTCTCAGCAAACTAGGAATAGAGGGGAACTTTCTCAACTTTATAAAGTACATCTACAAAAAACTTACAGCTAACATCATACTTAATGGTGAGAAACTTGAAGCTAAGATCAGGAACAAGGCAAGGATGTCCCTTCTCACCACTGCTTTTCAAATTGTACTGGAAGTCCTAGCTAATGTAATAAGACAAGAAAAAGAAATTAAATGTATACATATTGGGAAGAAAGAAATAAAACTTTGCAGATGATGTCATTGTCTATGTAGAAAATCTGAAAGAACTAAGAAAGCAACTCCAAGAACTAATAAGTGATGATAGCAAGGTCTTAAGATATAAGGTTAGGGGGCTGGCCCTGTGGTTGAGTAGTTAAGTTTGCATGCTTCGCTTCGGTGGCCCAGGGTTTCATCGGTTTGGATCCTGGGTGCGGACATGGCACTGCTGGTCAGGCCACACTGAGGCGGCGTCCCACATTCCACAACTAGCAGGACCCACAACTAAAATATACAACTATGCACTGAGGGGATTTGGGGAGAAAAAGCAGAAAAAAAAACAAAGAAGATGATTGGCAACAGTTGTTAGCTCAGGTGCCAATCTTTAAAAAAAAAAAAAGATATAAGGGTAATGTAAAAAAGTCAATCAATTCCCTATAACCAGCAATGAACAAGCACAATTTGAAATTTAAAACATAATATGACTTACATTGCACCTACAAATATGAAATAGGTATAACTCTAACAAAATATGCATAAGATCTATATGAGGAAAACTACAAAACTCTGATGAAAGAAATCAAAGGAGAGCTAAGTAAATGGAGAGTTAGTCCATGTTCATGGATAAAAAGACTCAACATTGTCAAGATGGCAGCTCTTCCCACTTCATTTACAGATTCACTGAAACCCCAGTCAAAATTCCAGCAAGTCGTTTTGTGGATGTCAACAAACTGACTCTAAAGTTTATGTGGAGAGGCAAGGGACCCAGCACAGCCAACACCATACTGAAGGAGAACAAAGTTGCAGGACTGACACTACCAGATATCAAGACTTTGTAAAGCTACAGTAATCAAGACAGTGTAGTCTTAGTAAAAGAACAGACAAATAGATCAACAAACAGCATAGAGTGCCCCAAAATAGACCCACATAAATACAGTCAACTGGTCTCTGACAAAGGAACAAAGGTGAAACAATGGAGCAAAGACAGGTCTTTTCAATAAATAGTGCTGAACAACTGGACATTCACATGCAAAACAATGAATCTAGACATAGACCTTACAGTTTTTACAAAAATTAACTCAAAATGGATCATAGACCTAAATGTAAAATGCAAAACTATAAAATTCCTGGAAGGTAATGTAGGAGAAAATCTAGATTACCTTGGGCATGGTGATGACTTTTCAGATACAACATCAAAGGCATGATTCATGAAAGAAACAATTGATAAGCTGGCTCCATTAAAATTAAAAACTTCTACTCTGCAAAAGACAACGTCAAGAGAATAAGAAGATAAGCCATAGACTGGGAGAAAATATTTGCAAAAGACACATCTGATAAACGACTATTATCCAATTTATACAAAAAACTCTTAAAACTGTACAATAAGAAAACAAACAACATAATTAAAAAATGGGCCGAAGACCTTAACAGACACCTCACCAAAGAAGATATACAGATGACAAATAAATATATGAAAAGATGTTAAATATCATATGTCATTAGGGAATTGCAAATTAAAACAACGAGATATCACCACACAACAGTTAGAATGCCCCAAATCCAGAACACCGAGAACACCAAATGCGGGTGAGAACGTGGAGAAACAAGAGCTCTCATTCATCGCTGGTGGGAATACAACAAAATGGTATAGCCACTGTGGGAGACAGTTTGCCAATTTCTTACAAAACTAACCATACTCTTACCATATGGTCCAGCAATCACACTCCTTGGCATCTACCCAAAGACTGGAAATCGTATGTCCACACAAAAATCTGCACACAGATGTTTATAACAGCTCTATGCATGATTGCCGAAATTTGGAAGCAACCAAGATATCCTTCACGGATATGGTGAACGGATAAATAAAATTTATCCAGACAATGGAATACTATTCAGTGCTAAAAAGAAAAAAAAAAGCTATCAAGCCATGAAAAGACATGGAGGAAGCTTAAATGCTATTACTAAGTGCAAGAAACCAACCTGAAAAGGTACATATTGTACGATCCCAACTATGTGACATTGTGGAAAACGCAAAACCATGGAGACAGTAAAAACATCAGCGGTTGTCTGGGGTTACAGGGGAGGGAAGGATAAATAAGCAGAACACAGAGGATTTTTAGGGCAGTGAAACTAGTCTGTATGATACTACAAAGATAGATAGATGTCATTACACATTTTTCCAAAGGCAAACAACGTACCACACAGAGAGAGAACCCTAATGTAACCAATGAACTTTGGGTGATGATGATATATCAACGGAGGTTCATCAGTTGTAACAAATGTACCACTGTGATGATAGGCAGGGAGGTTGTGTGTGTGTGGAGGCAGGGAGTATGTGGGAACTCTGTACTTTCAGCTCAGTTTTGCTGTGAACATAAAACTGCTCTAAAAAATAAAGTTCACTAATCAAAAAAAAAGAATCTTTGAGATCTCTATTGTGCAAAGGTGCTTTCAAATACATAGAGGGTCCCCAGAGCCCTTCCTTCCTGGAAGCCTTGCCTCAGCACCCATAACTCACCAGGCTGTTGACCAATGGGTTGGGACTTAGATCCATTTCACCAATCGTTTGGTTTACCTGGTGCATGGAGCCAACAAAGCACGCTGGGAGGTGAGTCAGCTAAGGACACACACTAGGTGGTGATTACACACAAGACAGGACAAGCTAGCTTGGCAAGGATGGCGGCTCACTCACTCCCTTTCTGTGCTGTCTCTCCACTTTATTTTCTTTGCAAACATTCACACTTCTTTTATCTTGTTTTAAATGACTTGCTTTACAAGTTATAGATGAAAATTAACCATATTCTAGATACCTTGGGAAATATAAAAAGAATCATCCATTATGCTGCCACCCTAACAACTTCTGTTAGGATTTGAGGAGCTTTCCTTCCAGTATTTTTTACATACATACACTTTTACATAATTATAATCTCAGTATGTGCCTATTTTACTAGTCTGACTTCTCTTCCACTCATTTTTATGATCATTTTCCATATGGCTAAACAATCTTCATAATATTTTAAATGGCATTATATGAATCCATTTAGAGGATGCATCTTAATAAACTTCACTGTTCTTGGGCTATTGAATATTTGGTTACAGTTTTTTGCAATTATAAATAATGCTGTGATGCATATAGTCAGACAGACAGCTGTTTCCATATTTTGGATGACTCCTTTAAGAGAGATTATCAGGTGAGAGAAGGCGGGGCCAAAAGGTATCTCAACCTTGTTTATCACTGTTTAAATCTCTGCTCAGTTCATGGCCTCTCTTGTCACCCTCTCTAAGTTTGCATTTCTTTCTGTCTCAATCTCAACTGGTCTAGGATATATCCTTTGCAAAAGCCCCATAATCCCATCACTTCTCACTCCTTCACATAAAGCAAGGTCCACTCTTACTTCCATTACCCTCAAGTGTTCTTACAAATCGGACACTTGACAGTTGAAGATGCCAAGGAGGGATATGACACATCATACAGAGATGGATTAGTTAGGCTGAGATGAATGTGGGATTAAGAAGGAAAAAGGGGACATTAGAAAAAGAGCCAGGAAAGTGAGACCCAAAAGCAGATCCTGATGGGATCACACTTGTGTTTATCTTGAGAAGGGTTTCTGAGAGGCATGGAAGGTGAGAGGATGCAGAGGGACACACGCGGTCTGGCTGGCAGCAGCATGACCTGAAGGTTAATGCGCTCTTTATAAGATGGAAAGACCTGGGGTTATTTATAACCTGAGAGGGCTATTTACTGGACGAGCTCTACAGTCCTCCAGAGATGGGATTCTGTGCGTCCCTGGGATACAGTTAAGGGTCAGAAGTAAGACAAGGATCAACAAAGGCAGGGCCAGAGAAGATGCTGGTAGAGCCTGGACGACACTAGAAGGGGCAAGCTCTGGGCTCAGGCAGAAGTGCTGGCAGGTGAGAAGAGGTGAGGTCAAGTGTAGCAAAAAACAAAAAGTTGGATCTTAAGCTCACTTGTCTGAAGGCAGAGGGCTGGACCATGACTTCTTAGTTGCTACCTATAACTATAATTCTTTGGAAAGTAGGAGGGAAAAAAGCAGACAATGAAAAAAAAGAGCTTTTTTCCTCTTCTTCCCCATTCTTTCAACACATATTTCTAGTACTTCTTCCTTTGGGGCTCTTTCTGATTATCTTAGTAAAACAAACTCAAGTCAAACAGTCCTTTGCAGTCGCAAATTCTTTTAGAGGATAGGAAGGGCTTAAGTAATTGAAAAGAAATTAATGAAAGTATATGGAACGAGCTAATAAGTAATGTGTGTTATGGACTTGAGACTGGTTACACCTCTGTGCAGGTGTACCTGGTCTCAATTACAGAGGGCACCACAGAAGGATACAGGGTGGATGGTCCTCCAGAGTCTTCCTCATGGCATTCTTCATCACGTTCCGTGTAACAGGTGAGACAGCCAGGTGCTCATCCAGTGGCACCACGGGCAAGGCGTTGACATTGATGACATCCATCTTACTGAAATAAGCCATTGTCCAGTTTCTTGTAAAGCGACAAATAGTAAGTTTCCACTTTTAAGAGTCTCTCATTTTTCACTCTGATCTTGTTCTCTGTTTAACCAGCCTCCTGGAAATCAGAAATAGCATAGAACCATCTTAGAAAACACAACATGCTCATCTGGTAAGGAGAGCTGATGGCGAGGCGCATCCTGCATGCAACATGGGAAATAAAAGATTTTTGTCTGAGAAGCCCATTCTTAACAGGATCTCAAGGCATATATACTTTTTCTTTCTACCTGCTGATGTTTCTCCTGCCCTTGATGAAAATTCCTCTAATTTTAAAAGTAAGGAGACTAGAGTGCTGGAAAGGCCAGGGCTCCAGACCTCCCAGCAAGCCAATTTCCAAATTAGAAATGAAATCTAATCTCTTTGTCTCTCTGAGCCTCATATGGAAAGTGAGAGATTCTGAATTAGGTTCCGAAGACCCTTTTCAGCTTTCACATGCTATGAGTCTATGGTTCGGGTCCATCTCCTCAGCATAAGGCTCCTGATTACCTGAGGTTTTCTGCTCCCTCTCAGAAAACTCGCCCAGTCACTACTCTTCCTCCCGGATTTAGAAAACTCTGGCCAGGCTGCTCTCCCGGGTCCTTGCTCATTGGCCAGGAGTTCATCACTACCCCTTGTCTCTCCAGGTCCAGAGCCTGGTGGTACAGGCCTGGTTATAATGAAGTAAAAGACTTAGATCTGCCCTCAAGAAGCTCGTACATAATGGAAGAAGAGAGAAAAGGTAGAGTTTGGTGGAAAAAATTAACCAAGGTGCCTTTTCACGAGTCTCCCTTCCTCTCCTTCAGTTCATGCCTTGTGCCCTGCCCTCTTCTCCCCAGCCATGTGTCCTATATGCCTGCCCCACTGAACTTCTTCCTGGTCCCTGCCACGCTGTGCTTTGTGCCTCCATGCCTTTGCACATGCTGATCTTCTACTCAATGCTCAGCCCAGGTGATATATTTTTTAGGAAATCTTGAATTGCTCCAGGTCACTAGTGCCACCCTTCCCCCGTGAAGCCCAGGATTCTGCTTCCTCTTCCTCTTATGGCACTTAACTGTATGGAACTGGAATTATTTGCTTCTACATCTTTCTCCATTAGGCAAATGACTCCTGGGGATTAGGTTCACTCAATATTTGATTCCATTTTAGACTCACTCACCACACTTCTTTCTAGTCCCAAGAGGCTATTCATCTTGGGTTGTCCCACGTCAGCTGGATTGTGGCAAAGGCTGGCCCAGGCCCAGATCAATACTATCTCCTCCCTCCTGTTCCTGGCCTTCAGCCATGCAGGCAAGGGGGAGAGAAGGTAAAGGGGAGGCAGGTGGAGGTGCATTTTAGGGCTTCTCACTTTCCTCCCCACCTCCCGTTCCCCAGCTGGGTGGAAAACTGGAACACATTCTCTGAAAAGCTAAGCATGGGGTGACCCTTCTTGAGAAGCCTCTTGCTGTAGCTTAAAATTATTACTTACGCCTAATGGGAGAACCGAATAGTACACTTCTTAAGAAAAATGTTTAAAATACACGCTTTGCTCCCTTCTGAATTTTTCATCATACCACTTTAGCATTAAGTATTCTCTGAAACACGGTAAGTTTTACTATCACTACCTGGGTTGTAAAAAAGGATGGGGAAGAAAACTAACTTCATTGAATACCTACCTGGTGCCCAGCGCTGTGCTATGTGCTGGGGGCAGATGAGTCGAAGAGTAAGGAACATTCTGCCCTCCAGGGGCACACAGTCTGGCAGCTGAGATTTGAATGTTCCCTGTTTCGGGTTAACATGTTTTAACTTCAACATGTTAAACAAGGTAAAACAATGCTGACTTTGAAGTTCAATAGACCTCTGTCCAGTTTAACTCTCAGTCATTCAATGACTAGTTATTGAGTACCTGACACAAGCCAGCACTGTGCTCCTACTGGGGACGGGATGGTGAGCTACCCCACACCATACCCCTGTCCTACTGGAGCTTATGTCTACTAGGGGAGCCACACCATAATCAAACAACTATATAAGTAATTGTGAATTATAACTGTGACCACTGCTTTGAAGGGAGGTACACAGTGCTGAGAGGACATAACAGTGACCTAGTCAACATGGTCAAGGCGTGAAGGAAGAGCAGGAGTTAATTAGATAAAGGGGGAGGGAAAAATACCACCCAAGCAGAGGGGAGCAAGGTAGAAAGGTAGGAAAAGGTTAGACCTGTCTATCACAGTAGCCACTAGCCGTATGTGACAACGAGGCCCTTGGAATCTGGCGTGTCTGAAGAACTAGAATTTTAATTTTAATTAATTTAAATTTAAAAACTGAAGCAGTATAAACGTAAATATATTGACTATATGTTGAAAAACTATTTGAGACATATGAGTTAAATAAAATATTATTCAAATTAATATTACCTGGTTCGTTTTACTTTTTTAGAATATAGCTACTACGAAATTCTAAATCACATATGTGGCCCACATTATGTTTCCGTAGGACGGTGCTGGGCTGGACTGTGCAGATTTGGGTTCTAGCACATGGAATTCTCCTCTTCTCAGTGCAGTGAGGTGCAGTTGGAAGAAAATTGCACTTGGAGCTAGAGACCCACGGGTCCTGCCCCTCATTGTATGGATGACCTGGTGCACCCATTGGCACCCGGTAATCATCACTCGAACGATCCTGAGTGTCTTCATTTATCAAATGGAACCAATAACCAAGTCCTGTTAGGACTTTAAAAGATCTAGAGATAATTCTTGAGTAGTTCTCTGCCCCTTGCTCACTGGGAGACCTTGAGGCGGTCCCTGGAAGCCGACGAAAGCCGGGGCGTGCGGAGCGGGCAGGCCTGCGGAGGCGGGCAGGGCGGGTCACCGTCCGTCTGTCCGTCTTACCTGAAGACAGAGGCGGAATCCGACGAACTTGGGGTCGGTTCCGCCACGGGTCCCTCAGGGGACCCTGCAAAACTCTGGATGGGACACCCGGCAACCGCTGCCCCGACATCCACCAGGAAGGGGTGCCCTTTGCTTTGTGGCCAGGGAGGAGGCAGGGGAGGAGGGGCGTCGGGGAGAGGCCCATTTTGCCACTGTGAGTCGCGGCGTTCTCCAGGCAACGCCCGCGCAGCCACCGCTTTCCCGCAACAAAGGAACAGCCGCGAGCCTCCCCTGCATCCGCTAGACGCCGTTACCACGGCGACGGCCCCTCCCCCCCTGGCCGGGGAGACCAAATGATGGGCGTGCGGGGAGGGCGGGTGTAGCTCCTCGTCCTAGCGTGTAGCCTGGGGCGTGTAAGTGGCCCCATCAGACATTCCTTTTGTAGAATCTACCTAAGACATCGAGGACAGTCCTCAAGCCTGTCTGCTGCTTCGCGTGGGCTCGCGTTGGGGACCCCGCCGCGCCGGCCACCCCCCCGCCTCGGTGGTAGAGCCCGGGGCGGGGCTGCGCGTGCGCGCGGCGGGCTGGCGGGGGGCAGAGGGGCCTGTGAGCCGCGGTCGCTGTGGGTGACGGGCCAGGGCGGGCGGCACCCGGGAGGTGTCCGGGTGCGTTTGGACCCCGGCTTCGGGGACGCGTCAGGTACGTCTCCGAGCTTGGCGTCCCCCCAGGGCCCATGGACGGGTGGGACGCTCGGGCGTCACCCAGGGGACCCAGGGCCTCCCCGTGGCCGGAGCGGCCGGAGGGCGCGGGTCAGGGGCCAGAGGCCGGGTTCACCCCGGGCCCGTCGCCGCCCTTCTCCAAGCGCATGTCATCAGTTGTAAATCGGGGTAGTAGTTCCTCCCCGTGAGTCGGCTTGAGGGTGATTAAATGACGGCGTGCGAGTGGACGTTTGTCACCACCGTTCGTTGAGTCCGGCAGCCCCGGGTGGCCGGGTCCCTGCGCGCCGTGTGCGTGGCCGGCTCTGAACTCTGCGGGACGTGAGTCCCTTTGAGAATCCGCTGAAAGCCGAAGACCGCCCGCTCAGCTTCTTGTTAGATTAAGATCAGAGAGCGTATTTTACGGCCCACTGCAAACTGTGAAGCGTTGCACAGCGATGAAGTGATTATTGCCACCAGCGCGGAGCAGACCTTATTTGAAGCCCAGTTCCACCACCTTCCTACGCTGTGACTGGGGGCAAGTTACTTAACTTCTCTGAGCCTCAGTTTTGTGATCTGTAGATGGGGACATACTTACTTGATCTACTTCCAGCGGTGGTTGTGAGCATTAAATGCCACAGGTTTAAATTTTGTTTTTTTTAATTTTATTGGCTTATAACATTGTGTAAATTTCAGGTGTACGTTGTTATGTTGCAGTTTCCGTATAGACTGCATCGTGTTCACCACCAATGGTCGTTTTTTATAAACACTAAAGCACTATGAGTGGGGTACTATTGTTGTGTCTGATTACAAATGAGGAAGCCTGAGGCCCAGCAGAAGTAAGTGCTGGGGTGCCACTGCGCGTGAGGAGCAGAGCATGGTCGGAACCCGCCCGCTCTCCCTTCACTTCCTTTGTGCTGAGCCATCTCTGCCCAGGGAGTTTCACTAGAAAGAAGACTGCCTGGGGCCAAGGGGGTAGTTGGGACCTCCCTGTCCACACTAATGTCCCAGAACCCCAGGGTCTCAGCCAGAGTGGTCTGTGGATTATTGGATCCGACTTAACATCAGCTAATCCAGACTATTCCTTTTTCTCATCTGTAATATATTGATGACAGTTCTCAAGGGTTATGAGCATTAGTGAGGTCAGGAGTGAAGTGCCCCAGTTAAAACCCTGAGAAATCAAGTAACTTGGCCAACGTTTAGCAGGCAACTAAGGGGCAGAGCCAGGCCTAGAAGTGGGTTTGTTGTGTCCAGGCGATGTGCTCAGGCACAGCGCTCTTAGCACAACTGGGGGCTTCGCAGGAACAACTTGGTTTATTTTCCCTCCAAATGTCTCCAGATGCTTGGAGAGGCAGAGGATGCTTTTTATTGTTTGGGGTTTTTTTTTGGTTCATGTGTTTGTTTTGTTTTTTCATGAGTAACACATGAATATATTATAATTGTAATAATTCGTTAAATCCAGAAGTATGTTTCTTTAATATAATTTTGTATTGTAACATACGAAATTGCCACCATCTGACCATTTTTTACCAACAAAATGGCAGTTTCATTTGAGTCAGCCATCCTACTCCTCTTCCCAGATTTAACCACTGTGAGCAGTTTGGTGTGTCGTTTACAGATCTTTTTCTGTTTGTTAAATACACATATATATTCTTGATTTTTTTTTTCTTTTTGTCTCCTCACATGGGATTGTAGCACACATTGTTGTGCAGCTTGCTTTCTGAATGTTAGCGTGTGTGGGGGTTCCTTCAGGTCACTCTATATACAGCTGTCTCGTTGTCTTTCTGGCTGTGTAGTATTCTGTTATAAGAAGGTGCCACAATATATTTGGCTACACCAACCACTGGTAGACAATTTAGATTGTTTCATATTTTTCACTCTTAGCAACAATAGAGAACATTTGTGTGACCATGTCCAGTTCTTTCTGGAGGATAAATTTTTAGAGATTTTATTTTTCCTTTTTCTCCCCAAAGCGCCCCCCGGTACATAGTTGTATCTTAGTTGTGGGTCCTTCTAGTTGTGGCATGTGGGACGCTGCCTCAGCATGGCTTGATGAGCGGTGCCATGTCCGCGCCCAGGATTCGAACCGGCAAAACCCTGGGCCGCCGAAGTGGAGCGAGCGAACTTAACCACTTGGCCACGGGGCCAGCCCCTGGAGGATAAATTTTTAGAAGTAGATTTGCTGGCCAAAAAAGTATGCACATTTATAATTTTGTTAGATTTTGCCTAATTGCACTTGAAAGAATTATAGCATCTTATGTTTCCACTAAGAGTAAATGAAAGTGTCTTTTTCTCCACACTCTCACCACCATTGGGTATTACTCATTTTTTGGCGGGGCTGGGGAGTGAGGAAGATTGGCCCTGAGCTAACATCTGTTATCAATCTTCCTCTGTTGGCTTGAGGAAGACTGTGGCTGAGCTAACATTGTGCCAGTTGTCCTCTATTTTGCATGTGGGATGCTGTCTCAGCATGGCTTGATGAGCAGTGCATAGGTCCACACCCAGGATCCAAAAATGGGAATCCTGGGCTACTGAAGTGGAGCACGCAAACCCAACCACTATGCCACCGGGTCAGCCCCTATTCATCTTTTAAATTTTGCCAATATGATGGATGAAAGTGCTTCTTTTTATGATGTACCCCACAAGTTATTAATACAAGGATAATTAGATATAAACCTTTAGTCAACTGACCATGGCTGTGGACCTGGGAAAACTGCTTAACTTCTCTGAGCCCTAGTTTTCTCATCTCTGATATGAATGGGACAATCCCTACCTTGTGGGGTTGCTGCAAGGAATAAAAGAAATATATGTAGTGTGCCCAGCGTTGGGCCCAACCCATAGTGGAAACACAGGAAGTGATGTTAGTTAGTCTTTGTTGCTGTGCCTTTTTTTTTTTTTTGAGTTAAATCTTTCTTCCTGGATATTCCCATTTCATTCTTGTTCTGCCCTCTATAGATATAAGATTAATTGTTGTCCCTCTTCCACCCTTTTTCTTTTCTCCGGCAGAAACAATGCCAGGGCCTTCCACCGTTTTTGGATGACATGGTAGCACAGCCTCAGATTCCCTCAGCATCTTGGTCCCCACTGCTGTCCTGTCCACCACCAAGCTGGAAGCATTCTGGTTTGTCCAAGTCCTAACGTGTTGTGCCCAGGCCCAAATGCCATCCCCTAGGATGTCGGTCTGCTGCTGTTTTTAATTACAAACACATCCCACCTGTAAAACTTTCATGAGCACACCTCTAATTATGTTCATTTTTATTAATTTATTTATAAATCATATATACATATACATCTGTATTATATATTGTAAAGTCTCCAAGGAAGCTTCTAAACTTTTATCATTAATTTTGGTGATATTAATTTCTCCATCACTGAAGACAACAGTTTTCCTTCATGTTCTCATTGAATTACGTGTCTTGCTAACTGTGATGGATTCATACTATGAGTTATCTTTTAATGATAGTTGATATAAAGCCTTGTTTCAAATAGTCTTGAGAAGTTCCCTCTTTTTTGGGCCACCTTGTTGTCAGATATGATGAACTCCTTGCTGTTTTTATCTCCTGATGCGGTGAAGGGAGATTTGATACCCAGGAGCAGGAAAAGTGAGAGCTCTGCTCCTGCCTTTTTGCTCACTTGTGCTTTCATTGTTACCTTCAGTCTACAGTTTCTTAGAAAGAATCTTTTTAAGCTGCTTGTATGATATAATTAAAATTAAGTAATATATGGGAAGAAATGAACCTTGACCCTTGTCTCACAGCATATGCAAAATTAATTCCAGATGAATCATAGTCCTAAATGTGAAAGCTAAAACAATAAAATTTCCAGAGTTAATATAGGAAAATATCATGACCTTGGAGGAGGTAAAAATTTTTTAAATAGGACACAAAAACACTAATCATTAAAAAAATTGATGTCACATTCCATTAAAATTAAGAACTTCTTTAATCAAAAAGAAATCAATAAGAAAGCAAAAAGGCAAGTCCGAGATTGAGAGAAGAGATTTTCAGTATTCTCTATATATACAACAAAGGACTGGTATTCAGCATATATAAAGAACCCCTACAAATCAATTAAAAAATGATGGACAACTTAGTAGAAAAATGGCAAAAGACTTGAACAAGCATGTCACAAAAGAGGGTATCCAGATGTCCAATGAGTATATGAAAAGGTGCTCAGTTTAATTAATTATTGGGGAAAAGCAAATTAAACACACAATGCTATACCACTACGTACCTACCAGAACAGATAAAATGAAAAAGATAGGAAATGCCAAATGTTCACAAAGATCTCTCATACACTGTTGGTAGGAGTGTAGATTGGTGCAAACACTTTGGAAGACCACTGGCAGTGGTTACTAAAGCTGAGTATGTGAATGCTCTGTGACGCAACAGTTCCACCCCTGGGTGTAGAAGCAAAGAAGTATGCTTATGTATACAGAAATACACGTCCAAGCATGTCTCAGCAGCACTATTTTTAATAGACAAAAACTGGAAACAGTCCAAATGTCCACTTCATGCAGTAGAATATTTTACTGCAGTGTGAACAAATTACAACTACATACAGCAACAGATAAATTTCACATACATGATATTGAGTGAAAAAACAGACACAAAAGAGGATATACTGTAGAAGTCCGTGGATGTAAAGCTGTTGGGCGAGGCTTGTGGGGTGATGAAATGTTCCGTATCCTGATCTGGAGGGTGGCTGCACACGTGTGTATGCATAGTAAAAACTCATGAAGCCATACACTTATGATTTGTATACTTTTCTATATTATGTTATACATAAATATACAAAAAAGTTTACTTCTCCCTCCCTCCCTCTCCCAAAAAAATGGGCAGTGGCAGTAAATCTGCTTAACTGTGTGAATTGCAATAGGTTGCAATATGCCGAAAGCAGAGTATGGCTGCCATTGTCAGCTCGGCCGTGCTGTGGGCCTCCTTTCTCCTGATACCTCACCTGCCAAACAGGACAGGTGACCTTCTGACACGTGGGCTGAGTGAGGGGCACTATTATCAATCCAAAAGTGTAGTGTAAATACAGCTTCATTTCTTTAAGATGGAGAATATGCAGAGGCTCTTGCCCCAGGTCGATTCTTACCAGTGTACAGGAGTAAGTCAGGATTGTATTCCGTCTCTAGACTAAATCAGTGATGCCAGCTTGTGACAAAACTTAAGACAGGCAAGTTAGGCACTTGCCTGTGGTTAACATAAAGTGTAGAGCCACACAGACCTGCATTCACATACTAGCTCCCACTTAAAACCTTAGTCTTTCTATACCTCATCTGTCAAATGGGGATAATAAAAGGAGCTAGTCAAAGGGTGGTTGTGAGTTATGAGATGTTGCATGCAAAGGTTTTAGCACACTGCCTGGCACATAGTGACCATTACTAATTATATTAATAGTGAGCATGGGAGATATTACCAGGACTGTCAATAGCCATAGCAAAAGATGTGTGTTTTCATGATTGGAGGACAGTGGCATAAAGTGACCCAAATGTTTTCACCCTTGGCTTTTTCTGACGCTAGGAGGAGGGAGCACTGATCTTTCCTTCCTCTGGCCGAAGATGCCTCTCTTTGGAAATACATTCAGTCCAAAGAAGACGCCCCCTCGGAAGTCTGCTTCTCTCTCCAACCTACACAATGTGAGTGTCGGCCCTGGGCTCAGCCCGGCCTGCAGGGTGACTGCAGTGTCGAGCCGGGTCTTTTATGGAAAGTGTGGTCCTCCAGAGGCATCCTCATAGGAGGGTATCCTTTCATTCGTATTATTGCTATTGCTAAAGACATTTTTTAACTCCTATTTGGGCATTTTTGTTAGAGCCAATTCAAGAACCTAATAAGACAGTTAATCTCATTATGGTTTTTGGCTCCAAATATTATTATCCAATTTGACTTCACTTTATTCCCAAGACTTGGCCAGGAATCGATTTTAGTCATGTCTAAGAATGAAATTCATTGTCAAAGGATGATGTTTTGCCACCATTAATGGCATTCAGAAGGGTATGCCGCGGCTCTCAAGGCAGTTTCCAAGCTCCTCGGGGGCAGAGCCAGCCGCATTCCTCTCTGAATGCCCAGTCCTGATGTGGGGTGGGTGCTGAGCGAGCTGTAGAAACATTGCAAACACATTAAAGAACAGCTGCCACTACTAATTGGGCATTAGCATTTTATTCCTTTTCCTTGGCATATAGCTCCATAGTAAGCAAATGACAATTTAGGGGCTCATTACATTTAAAAAGGATTTTTCACTTTATTAAAAATTTACAGTAAGATTTTTAACTGTTAAATGCCTAGTAGCTGTAAAATAATTCAGTTTACAAATTTCAGCATATATAGCTTTTTTGGAAAACATCTGTTATGTAAGTGATACATTTCTTCTCTCTTATAGTTTAAGAGTTTTTGTTGTATCTTATTTGATTTTCTGATTTTTAAAAAAAGTATTAAGTCTGCTGGGTAATTATTAGAGAAAAGGAACGAGTTGCTGGGGTTGTATAGTTAATGGAAGGGGCACTGGGCCTCATGCAGTGTCTCGCCCACAGCTGGATCGGTCAACCCGGGAGGTGGAGCTGGGCCTTGACTATGGAACTCCCACTATGAACCTGGCGGGGCAAAGCCTGAAGTTTGAAAATGGCCAGTGGATAGCAGGTGGGCTAATTTCCTGCCATTTTGTCCAACGAGCCTGTGGAAAGAAACCCCCCTCGTAACTGCTGGCTCTGCCCTTCCCCCAGAGACAGGGATTAGTGGAGGTGTGGACCGGAGGGAGGCTCAGCGCCTCCGGAGGCGGAACCAGCAGTTGGAGGAAGAGAACAATCTCTTGCGGCTGAAAGTGGACATCCTGCTGGACATGGTGAGCGAGGCAATGGGAAGGGATGCCTGGGCTTGCCTTCTGAGGGGGCGCCCCCTCAAGTCATTGCAGCCAGCTGATGCCAGTTTGCCCACGTAAGTTGCTTTGAATCCAGAGATACAAAGCAGACCCAGTCCCTACCCTCAGGGCTCCCCATCTAGTGGGGAGATGGACAGTAAACATAATGACAGTGCCTCGTGTACGGCAACAGTCAGTCTGTGCCTGACATCTGCACTTGAGAGGGAGACAGTGATTCTGTTGAGTCAGGAGGGCATCACAGAGGAAGGGATGTTTGAGCTGAATGTGGAAGGATAAAGGGAGGAATGGGGGTTGGGATGAAGGCATTCCAGGAAGGACAGTCTCCTCGTGGCTTGGAGTTGTCCCGTACCAAGTGGGCATTAGTCATTGCCCAAACCTGCCAAGGGGCACACTGCGTTCGTGTCGGTTTCTTGTGGCTGTTAAAAACCCATCGGGGGCCTGCCCCGGGCCGAGTGGTTAAGTTCGCGCGCTCCACTGCAGGCGGCTCAGTGTTTCGTTGGTTCGAATCCTGGGCGCGGACATGGCACTGCTCATCAAGCCACGCTGAGGCAGCATCCCACGTGCCACAACTAGAAGGACCCACAACGAAGAATATACAACTATGTACTGGGGGGCTTTGGGGAGAAAAAGGGAAAAAAATAAAATCTTTAAAAAAAAACAAAAAACCATCAGGGCCAGCCTGGTGGCGCAGCGGTTGGGTGCACACGTTCTGCTTTGGCAGCCTGGGATTCACCGGTTCAGATCCCAGATGCGGACGTGGCACCACCTGGCAAGCCATGCTGTGGCAGGCGTCCCACATATAAAGTAGAGGAAGATGGGCATGGATGTGAGCTCAGGGCCAGTCTTCCTCAGCAAAAAGCGGAGGATTGGCAGCAGATATTAGCTTGGGGCTAATCTTCCTGAAAAAAAAAAAAACCCATCAGGGGCCAACCCCATGGCCAAGTGGTTAAGTTTGTGTGCTCTGCTTTGGTGCCTTGGGTTTGCCAGTTCGGTTCCTGGGTGTGGACCTAGCACTGCTCATCAAGCCATGCTGAGGCAGCATCCCACCAGTAGAAGTGGAATGACCTACAACTAGAATATACAGCCATGTACTGGGGGGGTTTGGGGAGAAGAAGGAAAAAAAAAGATTTGCAACCAATGTTAGCTCAGGGCCAATCTTGAAAAAAAAAACCAAAACAACCCATCAGCCTGTTGGGCTCAGTGGTGCAGGTGAAAGTTGATTGAGAGACAGGAGCGCATACACAGCAGTGGTTAAGAGCATGCATTCTGGGGGGCGGCCCCATGGCTTAGTGGTTAAGTTCTCATGCTCTGCTTTGGTGGCCCAGGTTCACGGGTTCAGATTCCAGGTGTGGACCTGTACCACTTGTCAGCCAAGCTGTGGTGGCGACCCACATACAAAATAGAGGAAGATTGGCACCGATGTTAGCTCAGGATGAATCTTCCTCAGGACAAAAAAAAAAAAGCATGCATTCTGGAACTAAACTGCCTGGTTCCTTACCCAGCTCCACCACTGGCTGTGTGACTTAAGGCAAGTTATGTAACTGCTCTGCGTGAAGAAACTTAGTTTCTTCAGCAATAAAATGGGCATGATAGTAGGCTCTACCTCGTAGTGAGTTGACAGTACACACAGAGTGCCTGGCATAGGGTGTTGCTCAGGAGCTGTACCTCCTATTTCACAGTGAGCTCACCTCAGCTCCAGAGAGTTTCTCTCTGTCCCTGTCTTGAGTGTCTTCCACCTTCTACTCCAAAGGCCACTAGAAGAGCCTGATGGGGAAAGCGGCATTCTTTTTCAAGCAGTTTTTTCCCTAATCACCATTATGTGAGCTACAGTTCAGAAGCAACTCAGACTCAAGTCCTTTAGCCTTAGAATCACCAAGATTTGCTTTTTTCATCCGCTAAGGCCCACTGTCCTCACGTAGTGAGTGCCATGCAATCCTAGGTGATCAAAAATGTTGATAGAGTGGATTGTGAATGTTCTTCACGTACTTGAGGCCCTGGGCCCTCAGCTGGTTACATTCTGCCCAGTTACGAAGGGGTTCCCATTGTGGAGGCTGGCAGTGTTAGAGAAATGCCAGGAGGCCTTTCCCCAGCACGCGGGGCTGGCCTCGCAAACTTGAAACATAGCCCACAGATCTCCTTCTTTATAACGCTCTGCTGCTTTCCTTTCAGCTCTCTGAGACCACTGCCGAATCCCACTTAATGGAGAAGGAGCTGGATGAGCTGAAGAGTGTCAGCCGGAGGAGAAAATGATGACCCCAGACACATTCGTTAGGAGAATAGGGAGAAACCCATTGATCAGAGGAGTAAGATGTGGCTGAGGGTTTTTTTTAGCCAAACTAGTAGATTAGGTCCTAGGAGAGAGTATCATTCAATGGGGCCAAAAGGCACTGGTACCCTTGGGTTGGCAATAGAAAGGTGACAACAAAACGGAGGAAACCAGGATGCCAGGCCAGGGCAGGAAGTAGGAATGTACTCTGGCAGCGCGGCACAGGGAGGCCAGTCTGTAAACAAGGCCTCAGGGAGGTGTGGGTGATGCTAAGACTTTGGGTGCTCTCCAGTCACTCAGCACACACATACACGTGTCCCACGTTCACCTTCAGGGGACAGACACTGTTGGGAGAAGCAGCTGGAGTTCATCACCTCATCCCCTCCTGCTGGGGTTGGGGGTGTGGCACCAGTTCTAAAGAGCCCTGCGTGAGGGGTCTCAGACGAGCAGCTCTCCTGGTTCTCTGCCCCTCAGGCCACTCTCTCTGCCCTTTAAAGCATACTCGTTCCCCAAACCACAACCTCGTCAGGCTTCAGCTTCTCAGCAGCAAGAACCAGCCTTCCACAGCAACACTATATTTTTGTGCTACTTTCCTGTTTACACTACTTTTAAAAATTAAATGTTGTTCTGTCATCTCTCTGTGACCAAAGTGACTGAGAAAAGAAGCATCAGCTGTTGGAGAAGTAAATGGAGCTGGAGTCTAAGCTTCTGCTGCTCCGTCCAAAGGCAGAGTTTTTAGGTTGTCGGGAAATGTCGCTATTGCAGGAAAAACATTGCAGCTTCCTGGGCTTGGCAGAGGCTGACCTGGAACAGAAATAGTCTCTCTGCCCAAATTCTCCTGCCCTCCTCCTTCAGGGAGTTGGGACCAGCCCAACCTCACAGGGGCCGAGTGGCTGGGTGGGGAGCTGGACTCCCAGAGTGGGAATCTGTGCCTGAGTCAGTGTGAGCCGAACTTCTCTGGCTGGAGGAGGAATCCAGCTCCCAAAGTCAAGGCGGGAGGGCTTGACTTCTGAGGGTGGGGACATGGAGCCCAGGGCTTTAGACCGGGGATGGCTGCTGAGTCATTTCCTCCTGAGCCCAGCGCTGTGAAGCAGGGACTATCAGCATGTCTGTCTGCACATAAGGAACCAAACTCCAGGAGGTTCAGAAACTGGTCTAGGGTCATACAGTGGAAGTGTGGGAACCTGCTGATTCGCAGCCCAGGTGTAGGAGAGGAGCTGGGTGGGGGACCGCCTCAAATGGAGGCTGCTGCCTGTACTCCATCCTTAGGACCAGCTCTATGGGGGAGAGATAAAGAAGCTCCAGCCCCTGACCTTTCTGATATAGGAGAGAATAATTCAGAAGGAATTGGAGAAGGATACAAATATATGCAGGCTGTAAATCTTCAGATCTTCAGGTACAGATAATAGGAGAAACTCAGAGTTGGCTTATTCCTAGCCCAGCATCATTAGCAACCATTTACAGAGCACCCTTGATGCCAAGTGCCTATTTCTAATTCTCAGGAGAATTCTTCAAGTTTGTTATCATCATCCCCTGCTTTTGGATGAAGAAACGAGCTTAGCAAACTGACACAGCTGGAAAGGATGGAGCCGAGACTGAAATCTTGGGAATCCTGAGGGGCAGGTTTGGTTGTCACAATGATGTGTGTACCCCTCTGCTCCATCACTGGCACTTGAGAGTGCTGGAGCCAGTATGTGGGACAGTACTGCCGTGAAGAAGGACTTTTATCTTGAATGATAAGAGAATCAAGCCATTGGCGAGTTTAAGCAGAGGAATGCTAGGATGGACTTGTTTTTAAAAGGATCCCACTGGCTTCTATGTGGTGAAAAGACTGTAGGGGGCAAAGCTGGGACCAGGGAGGTGGCATAGAGGAGATGAAGTGGTCAGATTCTAGACATGAATTGACGGTGGAGCCCACCAGTGTTTGCTGATGGATGTGGGGTGGGAGCCGAGTCAAGGATAATCCTATTAATGAAAGTCTAAGAGAAAAGGGGAAAGATCACCATGTCTCACGACCCTGACCCTCATTTTTACCCATTGAGATTCTATATGCTTTCAAGACCTTATCTTTTAATCAGATACATCCTTCAGGTTCTGGCTAAAATTCTTCCTCAAAGCCTTTATTAACCGAATCGACTACTTATGTGGCACCCAAGTAAATAGTGCTATCTACTTGACAGTTAGTGTCCCTTGTAATCACTGCAACAATTTTGTGAATGTGCAGAGTGTCAGATTAGGGAAGAACTGTTGCTGAAGAGCAGAGATAGAAATTAGAGGATTAGAGGCAATAATCAGAGGAAATTTTAGTTTTGGCCAACAAGGGGAGCCATAGGCACAATTGTACAGATATGGGCTAATGTGCACAGTATGTTGGGTGGGGCCTTAGAGCTTTTTTAAGATTCTCAAAGAGATCTATGTCCTCCACTGACCCAAATAAGAATTATTATACTACCAGTGTCAAATTCTGACAGCTCAGAAACAGGAAAGGTGGAAAGCATGGATTTGAGGGATGGGGAATGAGAGGAGCTCAGGGGCCGGGATCTAGAAGACCCCATCTCCATCCAAATGGTAGAGTCACCTTTGTGCCTAGCATGGGGCATCATCACTCACTTGGTGGCATCCTTGTCCCCTTGTCCTTCAACTGTGATCCCTGGCCTGGTATCAGTCTTACCATATGTCTTCTTTGTTGCCACTGGGCATTTCTCCTTGAAAGCTTGAGTGAAGCCACGCTCGTCCAGTTTTCCTCCTCCTCTGGCAGCTCCTCCCTGAACCTCTCAGGATGGGAGAAGGCTCCCCTTCCCCCTTGACCTCTTTTTTTGATAGTTCTGATTTATGTTTTTAATTTAAAACATTTTTTGTTGTGGCAAAATACACAACATAAAATTTACCATCTTAACCATTTTTAAGCATACAGGTCAGTGGTATTAAATACATTCATAATGTACAAACCATCACCACCATCCATCTCCATCACTCTTCGTCCTGTAAAACTGAAACTCTGTACCCCCTAAGTCCCCATTTCCCCCTCTCCCCAGCCCCTGGCCACCACCATTGTACTTTCTGTCTGCAATTTTGACTAGGTACCCCCTGACCTTTTAAATGTCTGATTCCACAGGCTCTGTCCTTCTTACTCAGCCGTTTCTAGATCACCTCATCTACTCGTAAGACTTTGAATACTTGGCACTGCATGACTCCCAACATTTTTTCTTATCCCTTGACAATTTTATAATTATTGAAAGAGCTCTTTTAGCCTTAAACATAGGTTTTTAAAAAATCATGTATTGCTCTTGTGAATATACACAAAATTAACTGGTTAATGTTTTCCCCAAACTTCTTCACATTAGCATTGTGACTTTCCACTTGGAGTCATTGATGTCTGCTCTTTCCGCCTAAGATTGCCTTCTCTACCTTCAAGGGCGTTGCTCTTCCAGCATTTCTTCAAAGAGCCCATAAAAGAATTAAAAGCCATCAGCACTGGGCTCTTAAGCTGCCCATGCATTTATGTAGAGCTAGCCTGCTTTAAAAAAATACTTTTAACACATGCAAAAAGTATAATTCGTAAGTGTACAGCCTGATGAATTGTCCAAAATGAACATAGCCATGTAAACACTACCCAGCTCGAGAAATAGAACTTGATCAGCATCCCGGAAGCCACTCTCCTGCTCCTTCCTGAGTCTTACCCACCCCGTGAGGGAACTCTATCCTTCTGTGCATAGATTAGTTTTGCATTTTTTGAACTTTGTATAATAGAGTCATATACTAAGCATTCGTGACACGAAAACTTTGTGTAGTCAGAGCTGCCCTGTGCAAAGATGAAGAGGACTGAGCACCGTATCAGGGAAAGTGCAAACGCCTTGCCCCCTAATACATAAGCACAGGCTAGTCTCATTGCTGCGTCATAATGCATCAGATGAGGATCGGGACTGCCCAGTCCAGGGAGCCTCCGTGTCTGTGGTCAGCTGGCTAAAGCCTCATATCAGATTACCCTTGTGTTAATAACTTGTGGGGCACAGAAAAAGAAGCATTTTCACCTATCATATAGGCAAAAAATTAAAATAGGGATCATACCTAATGCTGGGGAGGGTGTGAGGAAAAGGACACTTCCATTTACTATTGTGAAAGTATGTGATATAATTTCGAGGGCAATTGGCTAATACCTAGGAAACTTTTAAAAGTTCATACTTTTTGGCCAGCAAACCCACTTCTAGAAATCTGTCCTGCAGAAATGGTTGCGGCAGCCTTGTGCTGTGCCTCAATTTCCTCATTTCTAAAACGGGACGACAGTCCTACCTCAGGTTTCTGTGACACGCACGCACACAATGCCTGGTACTTAGTGTTAACCCTCGCCTTTGTTTTGGTTCATTGGGACTGTTTATTTGCCGTTTCCCCAAAAAGCCAATAAACCTCCAAATTTCTAATTTACTCCTACCAAATAACATCCTTCTCAGGGAGATGAAACGGGATTAGCGTTTGTCTAAGTGTGATCCCCAGGAGGCTTGTTAAAACGCAGGTTTCTGGGCCACCCTAAACCCACGGCACAGAATTACTGCGGAAGCAGTCCGACTCCGCACCTCAACAGTTTCCTAGGGGTTTCTCAAGTCCACTCAGTCTCGGCCCCGCCGACTTGGCTGAAGGCGGGGAGGACGGCCGGCAGAGGGCGTCGCTCTCCCCGAGCCTGCCAGCCTCAGGCTACCGGAAGGGCAGCTCTGTCCGCCGGCGGCGCTGCACTCGTCTCCTCTCTTCCGTTTCCGCTGTCCCCCTACAGTCATGGCTGCCGCCGCCGCCGCCTCCGGCCCTGGGGCGCCCCTGTCCCCGGACGAATTGCTTCCGAAAGGCGATGCCGAGAAGACTGAAGAGGAGCTGGAAGAGGAGGACGACGAAGAGGTACTGGGGCCCGGCGGGGCGGGGCGGGGCGGGGAGCGAGGGCACGGCGGGCAGCGGCCCGCCCGGGGCTGTGGGCTCCGCGTGCTGCGGGATTGGGGCGAGGGCGCGTCGCGGAGCCCGGGGAGGTCGGAGCGGAGGCGTCTTCTCCGGGAGGCGGGGCTGGGGGCTCCGCTGGGCCCGGGGCTCCCTCGTTCCAGGGGGCTCGGCGTGTCCTGGCGTCGAGGGGGGGCGGGTTGCTGCTGCTTCGGCGAAGACCCGCGTCTCGTCCACCACAGCTAGATGAGACCCTGTCGGAGAGGCTCTGGGGTCTGACGGAGATGTTCCCGGAGAGGGTCCGGTCCGCGGCTGGAGCCACTTTTGATCTCTCTCTCTTTGTGGCTCAGAAAATGTACAGGTAAGGAACGAGGGCAAAGACGTTGGGGTGTGCCTGGGGTGACTGAGGTGCCGTGAATGAACGCGGGTTCTGGAGGCGGCTGACCTGGGTTGGAGGCCAGCCTGCCACCTGGATCATTGAGTGACCTTGGACTGGTGGTACCTTAACCTTTCCTGGTCTCAATTTCCTTTTGTGTAAAGTGAGGATCATTTCAGACTGTGTGAGATAATTAACGCGTAAGGAGCTTTGTAAGAACTCGGGGGAATGTTGAAACTGCTCTCACTAGATGTACAGCCGCCAGCACTGCTCCTCCTGTTTTGGGGAGGAGTTGGTGCAAGAGTTGGGTAGAAGACACATATCAGAAACACTGAGTAAAGCGTGAGAGGTTTGGTTGCTGGTTCGTCCTCGGTGAAGCTGTTTGTGTGTTTTGCCATCATGCTCACACTCCCTCTGCAGGTTTTCCAGGGCAGCCTTGTGGATTGGGACCACCTCCTTCATGATCCTGGTTCTTCCTGTCGTCTTTGAGACTGAGAAGTTGCAAATGGAACAGCAGCAGCAACTGCAGCAACGGCAGGTGAGCCCAGACCTTGGGCTTTTTGCCAGTGGTGGAGACGCAAGTTCTTTCTTTCTCCAGCACCTGGGTGGACCAGCAGTTAGTGTGTGGGTGGCAACTGGGACCCAGCCTGTGCTCTCAGCATTGTTTTTGTAGACCTCGTCTGCATGCCCTGTTAGGTATGATGAAAATGAGATCCCTAGGCCTGCACAATGCCTTACACCTCTCCTTTTCTTTTCCAGATACTTCTAGGGCCTAACACCGGGCTGTCAGGAGGAATGCCAGGGGCTCTACCTTCACTTCCTGGAAAGCTCTAGATTGTCACTGCTATATTTGACCTGTCTTGGTGGGCGAAGTTTGAAAATTCAATAGTGTTTGAACTGCTGATTATTTGGAATTTCTTTTTAAACTTTGGCACAATGATCTATCTAAACCTGGTGGGGAGAATTCTCTCCACACTATCTGATGGAGAGAGCCCCCAACTTAGAACTGTGCCCTCCATGCTCTCCTGAATTATTCTCTTTCACTCTGATACCAGAGTGCAGCAATGCAGACAGTTACTCCAGCTCTGGGCATCCCACCCCTTCACTAAATTACTCCTGACTGCAAGATCTCCCCACTCTCCCATTGTGGGGTAGGAACTGATGCCATTGGGAAGGATGTACCCCTGACCATAGGTGACTGTTTTGTTTTGAAGAATGGAGCTGTCAGGGAGGGCCATGCACACACTATAAGATACAAACGCGTTACAGCTGTAGTGTAAAAGCAGCCACTGTGAATCTCGATGTAGGTTGGAAAGGAGGGAGGGCCGGCAGCAGCTTTGACCACAGGACGGGGACTGTGGAGGACAGAGCAGGAGCTCATTTCCTCTGCACATTTTGGCTATTAGACCTGTGTGCGAGTCTAAAAGAGAAAAAAAGGTTAGTGCTCACTTTTTGTATTTAAATATTAAAAATGATTCCACCCAGAAGTGTCATCCATGTGCTTGTGCTACACATCTCAAAATTACTTAACCGCTTTAGAAGGGCAAAGGCATGTACTGCCCCTCACATTGCCTCTAACCTAAGCCAGCACCGTCATTTAACAGTGACTGACCTCTTAGGCCCAAGTTAGTTAAATTTCCATAAGTGGAAAAAAGTTCATTTTTGGCCAAGAACCTCATAATAGTAATCTTTGCTCTGAATTCAGGCAATCACTTTTAGATCCACCAACAAAGGACTGGGTCCGTGTACTTGTGCAGTCTACAGTGACATTACAGTTATAAAGGATTTGTAGGGGAGGACATAGTACTGATTTCTAGGCTGGGGAGGGGAAGGTTGCAAATAGAACTTTTTGGTTTGTTCTCCTAAAAATAATTGCTGAGATGAGCTATTAATGGTGAGGCCAGTTGAGGTCCTGTCTTTGAACTTCACAGTTTTTCCATTTAACATAAATTTTTATTAGCATTGTGCTAGTAACAGTATAAGCCTCTTACGTGGGTTATTTATCAGAACCATACTATACCATTTAGGAGGTAGCAGTATTTCCATTTTACAGAGGAGGAAAGTCACAGAAAGGTTAAGTATTCTGTACCAGGCTGCACAGGAAATGCCAGATCTGAACTCAAATATAGGCAGTCAGACTCAGGATCCTGCTATGCTCTTGGTACTGGGGCCACCCAGGCCCTGTTAAGATACATGATCTTCCACTTGTTAACCAGGGAAAAGCACTAGTCACCTGGCAGTACTAGTAAAGGAAACGCGTACTTAGATTAGGGTCTTCAAATTGTTGAGCCTGGTAAATTCCTGGAGCTTCTTTTGAACCAAATCCTACTTGGTGACTATTTTGTCTGGTTTTTGAGGTGAGAGGTTTAAGTGAAGCAGAACTTATCTCCAAAGGTGACTTAGGATGGTAGTGAACTCCTTCTAAAGCAATGTCACGTTTCCTTTTTTTCCCTTTATGTACATAATTACAGAATTCAGGCAGGCAGAGGAGATTTATGTACAGTTTTCCATTTTTAATATTTGGTTAAACAAAATACATCTTTTGTAAACAAACCCAGCACAAGGCCAACAAAAACGGGAATAAAAGCAAGAAAAACAAAAAGCCTAGGGTTGCCCCTTACTGGGCATCAGGGTCAGGCCTGCCCCCTTCCTTAAAGGAAGTGGGGCTTTTTGCCCTTGGGCATCAGCATGGGTCCCTGTTCCTAAGCACCGGAATTGGATATGAACAGAGAAACCAGCCCTGAAATGTCTTTGCATATCCCATTGGCTCATGGACTCCCAGTGCATGGGGACTCCTCTGAAGTGCCATTTGCACAGGCCCAAGCAGACTGGTGGGGAGGAGTTTCCTCCTCTTCCCGGGAAATGGCTTACTATCACTGACAGTGCCAATGGACCCAAGGTCCTGCTTGTGACAGTCAGCAAGGTTGGCTGTAACTTCTGGCTGGTGGTGGCTGGAATGTCATTGTGCAGGGGTAAAGAGCTCCCTGTGGTGCCAAGCAGGTGTGTAGAAAATGGTGCAGAAGAGACTGCGGCCAGCTGCCGAGAGGGTGTAATGCAGTAGCCGCTTGGTGGCCTCTGTTACTCAGCACAAAAAACGGCCTTGGATTGAAGATACATGTGCAGAAAAAGTGCTGGTGTAAACATGCACTCCAGTCACAGTGGGGAGGAAGCCTCAGCTGCATCCTGTGAAGCCTGCTCAGGTTTGACATGCAAGCCCCAGGCTGGCTCCGCTGCTGGAGAGAAGTCTGGCCAGTGGGGCAGCTCTCAGACCTGCCAAGGCCATTGATGTGTAAGCGCCGGACAGGCCATCCCTGCCTGCCCACCCGCCTTGAGGCAACCACAACCACTTTGGTGACACACAGTGTGGTATGATACCTACTCCCCCTCCTTCTCTTTTGTTTTCCAAAGTCACGAGAGAAAAGTGGCCTAACAACTATCTAAAGAGGTAGGGGCGGGTCAATTCTCAGTCCATTTGTAAAGGAATCTACAGAAAGATGACAAACCCAGGTCCTGTAACATAATGCACATAACCACCCAACTGGAGGGCTCTGCTTCTTGTCACTATAGTGACTCTGAGCCTAGGACTTCTATCAATGCAGGCTGTTCTTAATCTCTGAGAAGCTTATCTTCACAATAGTTTCCTCACCCAACTCTCTCAAACTAGTGGAATTTGATGTCGATGGCAGACTTATTTCCTGATTTTGCCAGAGAGGGTCAACAGGGAAAACTGCCCTTTTGCCTGTCTTATGCCCCAGAGCCTCCTAAATCAACGTAGTGAAGTGGCAGGGACAATGCTGGAGTGAGGCAGACAGGCCGGCCGTGCCTGCCCCGGTCTGGCTTTGGCCAAGTCCTCTTAGGTATCTAGCTCACCCTGTCATGCTAGAATATTGCAGGATTCAACCACCTGTTGTGGAATATTAGAGAACTTTTCATTATAAAACTCCAAGGATGGCCATAAACCACCCTTAAAAATGGGGTAGGGGTGGCATTAAGGGTTGGAGATGGCACGCTGTACCGCTGCTGGGGTTTTAGAGATGGTTTCCTGAGAGGCCCTTTTGCTCTGGGTCCTTCAAGCTAGTCACATGGGCTTTGTATGTACGGTTCTTCAGACCCACTGGTTGCCAGGAAAAGGGAAGTGGAGGCAGCATCTCCGGGTGAGTCAGAGCAGCAGTGAACTCCAGCAGAGCCTCTGTCAAGTCCTCACAGGAAAGGGGAAAATATGCTAGGACCCACCTTTCTTTTTCCTCTCTCAAATGAAACAAGGGTGTTCCACTGCTTGCCCTAAGTGCACAGAGCTCCTACCTTCCTTTCCCAGGAATGAATTATGCTGGTTGGTTCTTCTAACAGTCACATATCTGTCCTATTGCACGGTCAAATCTGAGGGGAAAAACCCGATGAGATGTTTGGGGAAGCGGCAAGGACAGAGCCACTGTACAGGCCACAGCACAGCACGGGGGACCTGGCGGGCTGAAGGGAGGGAGGGTTGGGCAGAACTGCGTTACACGTCAGTCCTCCAACTCTGATGGGCCTCCACCTCTTCTGTTACCACCAGGAGGAGTTCACAGTTCTTTCCTCGCAAATGATGTTTTAGAAATTTCCTATGGGAAAAAAGGGTAGATGAAAGAGAAAATGAAATGCTGGTGCAATTGCAAATTCCAGTCTTGGGGCCACATGTTCACCAATAACCTTATTACTTATACCCTTGGCAGTCCTAAAAACACTCTACTAGTGATCTGTTCTTGGAGGGCTGCACACTTGGTTACCCTTCAATCCGTCCAGTTAGATTTCCAATCTGAATTTTTGCTCAGCCTCACATATTATTGTCAACAGTAGCTGCTTCTGTGAGGAACAGAGCCCAAAGTTCTCTAAGTTAAAGGACTTCTAATCGAAGGAAAAAGAAAATTGGGGGAAAAAATTCTTTTTGAGTCCCACGGAAACTCAGCCCTCTCTCGCCTGAATGTTTGTCTTCCTTTCCCTGAACTGGAAACTACACTGTCACAGTGGTTTAAGTGGAGAGAACGTTACAATGCCAGTCCCAACAGACCAGAAGGCCAGCATCACAGGTGCTGGAACTTGTCTACCAAAGGGAGAGTCCTCAGGGGCCATCAAAGACTCAGGTCTTTCAAGCCTGAGACCCTATGACTCTAAATAAGGCAGGGAGGCAATCAAAGGAGGTAGAAATCTCATTTCCTTTGTCAAATAACCAGAGCTCAGCTTCCCCCACACACCACTGTCGGTCCCCCATCCACACACACGGAGCCCAACACATCAGCCACACAGCACCTGAGCTCGCTCTCGCCTCCAATCCACTCGGGCATCTTCAGTTTGGAGTCGAGGTTGTAGTAGGCACCTCCCACCTCTCGAACACAGATCCAGTGCTGCCTTTTGAGAGGCAACTTCAGAGGACCCCAGCACAGGCTGGAGGGCAGATTCATGATGAAGCCCATAACGTTAGTGAGAGCAATGGCACTGACATCCCTGCAGAAGAGAAACGGTGTCAGGCTCAGAGGCAGCCAACTCCCCAAGGTTCTCTGGCTGTAACACCACAACTGCCCACTCCCTGCTCACACTCGCAATGCCAGTTCTCATCAAGTCAAGCCTGGTTCAGATTACCTGCGTTTGTCCCACCAAACAGCTTCATAGCCTTTGGTTTGAAGTGCTGCCATAATGACGTTTACGTCGTAGTTCCCATTTCCCAGCATGCTCTTCTTGTGGGGGGTCACCATGGTGTTTGGAGACAACCTACAAACGTGAGAGGAGGAAAGCTGAGACTGGCTGGTCTGCCTAACACCTCCTGGCCCTGCACTACCAGGGACAGAAAGCACTTGATACCACTGCCCCCGGAAGTTCCCCCATTCAGGTAAAATATAACCAGTTTTTACCCAAGTATTTTGTAGTCTGGGCTCCTGCTGCCCCAGGGATGACTTCTCTTTTTATGCAAAACGATAATTCAGTAGTGATGGGGCCTATCTGCCTGCCATTTAGAAAGTGCGTCTACAGTGAAGTCAGTGGACACAAAGAATGTTCCATGAAGCAGTCTTCTCACTTATGAAATTCCCAGTCTACCCATTTCTGCAGTCTCCTTCCTTGATGAGCTTCCTGCCTTGCTAGAAGCCTTCTCTTTTAACGTTGGAAAATAGTATTTGCTATTTTCATTTGCATGGGTAGTATTTGTTGTCACTCTTGTTTTTTTACAGTTTAAATGCTTTCTATTTAAGGCTTGTGTACCTGGTAATCATTAATCGTTGAATACTCAGAGGCCTCCAGGGGCCCAGGCAGGTAACATAAATGTATGAACTGGGGCCACATGTAAGGCAATAAAAAGGAGTAAGGCCTATGTTAAACTGGAATGCATGACCCACCCAAAGGCATTCCAAATATATGTGTGTGAGTAAAATACTTGAATTAAGAAAAAAAATTAAAACACAAAGAATAAACTGAAAAACATTTTTGAGCCAGACAAAAACTCAACAAACAGCAGTCCAGT